GAAGCTCTGGCACTGGGGACATTTAAAATGAGACTTAACAAAAGATTAGATAACACACTGTCTGGAACTTTCCTTCTTTAGTTAATACATTGTGATAAAAGCCTTAATGTGTTTCCAATTCATTTTTAGACAGAGCTAGAGGATTTGTACCCAAAAGAGGATCCGTTTCATTGTCTTTATTCTAGAACTGTCCTTCACCTCCTTTGAACTCTATCTTTCTGATTTTTGTCGTGCCCCCTGCTGTGTCACCCTTGCAGCAGCCACGAGATTGGTCTGGGTGGCATCATGGATAGGCCATCAATTCCATTTTGTAGTGTGGCTAATGCTTTATAAGCAGAGTGGTGCTGCGCTGGTGAAGACCCGGGGCATCACTGACGTAACTATTCAGTAAACCACGGAAGAGCAGGCCTGAGATGACTTGCATAGCCAGATCCTTCCATTGCAGCTAGAGCAATGCTGACAAGGGAGGCAAAGATCCATTTGAAACCACATCATGAATTCAATTTTACCACTTTGTCATACCACTGACATGCTGTTTTTGTCTTAAGGCTTGGTTTTGAGAGGTGCTCAGTGCCCACAATTTCCTTCAAGGTGTGAATTGTGGTTGTTGAATTGGGAGACCCTCTGGAAAACCTACAAAGCTGGTTTCCAGGTTCCAGTGCCACAAGAGGCCTGTAATGCCATATCAGGATTTCAGGGGAGAGATTGTCTCAAATATTCGGGGTCCTGATCATGTAGGACTTTAAATATTACAAGGCCACTCACTGAATTGCACCTGGAATGAAAAGGTGTACACATCTACATAGAGGATCCTTAAACCTCACCAAGCAGAGAGCAAATTGAGTTACCAAGCTGAAGGACACTTGAGGAGAGGACTTAAAACAAGCTATGTAGATAAGACAAGGCCTGATTTTTCACCGGTATTGAGCACTCACAACACCTATATTTTAAGCTTCTCAACTGAGCACTATTGTTTAAGGCAGTGGTTTTCAAAGTTTGGGTCGCGACCCAGTGCTGGGTCATGGAATGCAAGGCACTGGGTCGCCTTGCTCAATACCCAGTGACCCTGACGGCTGGCCAGTAAAAACTAGTAGTCCCTACCTGTTCTGACACCGCACTGCGCCCCGGAAGTGGCCAGCAGCAGGTCCAGCTCATTGGCAAGGAGGCCACGGGGCTCCGCACGCTGCCCCCACCCCAAACATCAGCTCCACACTCCCATTGGCCTCAAAAGGCATGTCATTTCCACTAACAGGCATCATGCAAAAAATGCATATGCTTACTGAGAGCAGAACAGAGCCCTAAAGTATGTGGAAAATTCCAAACACTGATTATGCTCTTCTGCCAATTGCTTAGAGAGGGTCTACTTGAGGAAATGTTATGGGGAAGTACCCTAAGATTGTCTCAATTGAATCCCTGAGCAATGTTTTCAGTATCCCAGTGAAGTGCTTCTGTGCAAATAAGGAGTATTTCCTTTAATAATATCTTAGCCTTTTAGACAGTGCATTTAAAAAAAATCAGCTTGCAGGTTCTCTTGCATAATAATTCCATTTTATGAGTTTTGCTGTATGAAGAAGCCATCATTCATTCAAAATGGGAGTATTTGAAGTGAATAATTTAATTTACTTAGCTAAAGAGGTTCCCACTAAATATAATTTTAACCTGCTTCCCTTCAATTAAAATTCAAGTCACTCTTAAATATTTAACCTCATTAGATGAGAAGAGTCACAAAAAAAAAGTAATATATTTTTGCTATACCTGATGTATGCATTTTTGAGTCTTTCATTGTAAGAATACAGCGTAAGTTGAACTACTAGTATAGAAGTCTCTCATTAATCATTTCCAGTGTTTCCAGCAAGTTTTAGTGTTTAAACAAGAGTCTAAATTAACCCAATATTATTTTTTAATGTTTTAAATGGGCTTGCCAGAAAAAAATCCAAGTTTGCTTGTGCAAACCAGGTAATTGCACACTCAAATGGGCAGTTAGGCATGATTGTCAGATTTCTGTTGACCTGTGAAAGTTTGCCCATTGTAGTGTGTTCACCTGTTTTTATGAGAATTACTGCTGTGTCCTTTAGAAAATTGACCCGGTTGGTCTACATTTTCAAACTTGGGAACCTGAAATTTAGGAGTTTAGTATCTGTATGTAGTGTCAACATGTAGAGTCAGTAGGAACAGTGGATATTCAGCTGTCATTGAAAATCAGGTCACTTATTTGGGCTCCTGTGTATGGATTTAGTTCCCTAACTCCCAGGAACCCATGTCTGAAAATGTGGACTTTATATTTAACAAGCAGTGTCTGTGTTTTTACATTAAGGTTCACCCCGCCCCATTTGTTGGGTGATAACTATTCATGTTCAGATGGTTTCTTTTGTCAGTGCAACTAGCTATGACACCAGGCAAATTTTGAGCACTTTGTCTACATGGTTAATCAATGGGCTTTTATTCCTGGCACCATCTTGTAAAATTCCATACAGGTGGGGAAAAAATCAACGCTTTTGACAGCTGTAAAGCAATTTAAGCAAAACGAATACCTGAATGATATTTCAGTCCCTCTTTAACCTTTAACCAAAAGCACTTGTAGTATTCTTTGGCTTAGTTGCTTGGACATGCTAAGTAAGTTTGCTGGGCATGTAAAACATGCTTCCTTCCCATTCGGCATTAGTCTGCTAGTAGTTAGTAAAGAAGAGCTGGGGGACAGGAGGGTTCCTCTTTCTGCGTGCCTGAATGGCAGTGTTTGAGTTACAGTTTCTATTTTAAAGTGTGGGTTTAGTCTGAAAAGCGATTGTAAAAATGGCACTTTCTTGTTCAATGGACCTGCTCTGTGTATTCAGACAATCAGACCTGTTGATTTCAGTGACAAAAATATGTTTTCTCTTGTTCGTCCCAGAAAGCCTACCCAGCTTAGGGAAAATGTGCAGGATTCTGACAGCATCACCAGATTGATAACTTATTTCCAGTTGCAGGGCCAAATTTTCGCCCTCATTTACAACTGTTCAATGCCATTGTCTCCAGTGTCAATGAACAAATACAGTTGTGGGCAGGATTTGACCAGCAGGCTGCGTATGGAAATCTCAGTACCTAGGCTAAGATTGCAGTGCTAGCATTACTCATGGGGGAATTCTGCAACAAAAAGTTAAAAATTCTGCGTACAATATAATAAAATTCTGCATATTTTATTTGTCAAAATAACACAATGTAGTCACACCAGTTTCAGTTATTTTTTATCGTGTATTTCAAAATACCTGTCAGCAAATATGTCTGTAACAATATAGATGACAAAGAAATTCAGATTTCTTACTAGGCATATTGATACAGAACTCTGAGTAATAATTCATTTAAACTACAATACAGAACCGAATTTCGCGCACCCCCTCAGAAGCAGTGCCAAAGCTTGGGGGAGTCGGGGTAATGGAGGAGTTGAGGGAGAGGGAAGTAAATTGCTGGGAATGAGCCCTATCTGACCTCCCACAAATGAGCCCCTATCTGACCTCCCACGTTGTGTGTCTCCCTATAACCCCTCTCTCCTGACCCGGCTGGCTGCGAAGAAGGCTGCTCTCTCTCTTCCCTCGCAGGCAGGGAGCTGCTGCTGTTCTTGTGCCACAGCATCCTTTGGTGGGCAAAAGGCAGAGCTGCAGTAACATTTCGACAGAAGCATTTTTCTTTGCACACAAAAAAAATATGTGGGGCTCATTAATTATGCACGCATGCAGTAGAGCAGAATTCCCCCAGTAGTATAGCATACCATCATTTTACTTGTAAAATAAACACATTTGAGCTGGAGTCATTGAGATGCACAAAAACCCCCATGGAATCCTACATCTGTCATCACTACATTTGCTAGAGTTTTAACACAGTGTACAAATTCTGCCCTCATGTACATGGGCATAACTCCTGTTGATTTCAGTGAGACTTGTACCTGGGTATCTGAAGGCAGATTTTGGTCCAGTCCATATGAGACCTATTTTATGAAGCTATTCTGCTCTATCAGGTATGTTAATAGACATTTCAGATTGCAGATAAATGCATATTTTTCTCTTGGGACCCTTCAAACAACTCTCAGGGCTTTGTTGGACCTGTAAACGTGTAGATAGCTCATTCAATAAACCTGAATGATCCTGGAGTGTATTTTAATTTACTTGCCAAAATACAAGAAATTTCCCCCTTCCCATTCATAGAGATGCATTTTTGTGTTAAAGGGGAGCATGGAAGGGCTTGAAAAAGAACAGATTTTGTTAGTAATGCTTAACTAAATGGATCCCCAATAAATAGTCCATCAATGTCTTATCCACTGTTTTGATGGCTGAAAAGTCTATGCTTATGCAAAATACTTGGCATGATAAAATTCCAAGAATGGAAATTTCAAAAACCATGGCCAAATTCTACTCTCATTTAAGTTTCACTGTGTTAGACCAGCTCTGAGCACTTTTGAAAATCCCACGCTAATAAGAGAAATGACTTTAAGAAAACGAAAGACTTCAAAACTAGACATGGGAGAGCAAAGACTCATGAAAGTAAGTATTGAGGAAGAAATGGATATCTAAATATGTAAGCCCTTCCTGTGATTGGAGGCAGACAACATCAGCCAAATTCATACATTGTGCAGGCTAGCAGTGCATTAACTACAATGGAGTTGCACCCACCTGTCTGTCTGAATTTTGACCCAAGTGTGTATTGCATCACTTGTATCAGTAACCTTTTCTTAAAGACACAGCAAATGAATGACAAAGATCAATTGAAGGAGCAGAAGCCATTCCCTTACCTTTAACTTTCCTATGTTTATTTTAAGACATGTATTTATATAAAATTGTGTTCTGTCCAATCTATCTGATGAATGATATAGAGACAGAGAATATTGTATTGGCTTGGCAAGGTTCTCCATCAACATATAACAAATGAACACTGTGCAAGCTCCTGTATGAAATGCCATCCTTCAGAATTCTTTGTTGTATCCAAGGTCATTCTGTTTCCTAACTGTTATGTTTCATTTTCCTTTCTTTCAGGGTTTTGAGGATCCCAAGGACAAGTAAGCAAATTTTGTCATAAATGTTTTGTGTTTCTGCATTCTTGGGTTTTTTTTTTCCTAATGTGAAATTAGCGTTTGAGACAGATGCCCAGTTTCCAACAGTGGAGATGGGAGTCCCCATCTTTTTTATACACGGATGAAGTCATAGCATGAAGAGTGGCAGTGACGTTTCCTGTAGGGGCAGCTAATCTACAGGCACCACCTCCATGAGTGTGAGGACTAGTCCATTTTCAATTACCTTCTGTTTGAAGCATCTCTGTTGAGAATGCTGAGAAGGAGTCTAAGTGCCAGTTGCAGAACCTGTCCTAGAGAATTATAAATGATGCTGGCACACATGGCATTCTCTTACCCAGGGCACTTCTTGTGTAAGAGCGCTTGAGCAATAGCCACTGCTGCTATTATTATTTATTTATTTTGCTTTACCAGTTACGGAACAGTAAGGATGGCCTTCAATAGGAATGGGTTCAGCATATCAGCTCAGGGAAGATGGGAGTGGGGATTATAAAGTGGGGAGGACGGTAAGAGATCCTCCTAGCTCCAGTAGTGAAATAGAGGAACCCCTGAGACAAGAGAGTTGAGGCAGAACTCTTACTCCCTTAGGGTATGTCTACACCCAGCCGCTAATTCGGTGGCTGGCAATCAAAGTTCTGGGTTCGACTTATCGCGTCTTGTCTGGACGCGATAAGTCGAACCAGGAAGTGTTCGCCGTCGACTGCGGTACTCCAGCTAGACGAGAGGAGTACCGCGGAGTCGACGGGGGAGCCTGCCTGCTGCGTGTGGACCGAGGTAAGTTCGAACTAAGGTACTTCGAACTTTAGCTGAAGTTGCGTACCTTAGTTCGATTTGGGGGTTTAGTGTAGACCACGTCTTAGTGTTACACAATCGCTACACTTACAGGGGCTCCCATGTCAGCTTGTCCATCCAGCAAAGGCAATATCAATGCTCAGAGCTTTAGCTGGCAGATCATTCATTTAGGGGAAGTGGCAGCTCAGATAGAAGAAACCCAGCCAGATAAGAGAGATGTAAAATGCATTTAGAGTCATTCTACTGCTAGTGCCAATGAAATTACCTGTAGTAGGTGGTAATGTAGAGGAGCAGTTGGGCCAGGAAATAAGAGTTAACTTGTGTACACTTACACTGGGCTAATTTCCTAAATGAAGCAAATGAGAGAGAAATAACAGAACAGGGGCCGTAATGGGATACTTGTGAATTAGGGTTCATATACTGAGAAGTCAGTTGCACCATCTATCAGAGTTGATTTATGGGTAATGAACGCTATCCTACTGTGACACTAAACAAATGGATTACTCTGTTATCCACAACAGGCAGGGCCCTACCTTATAGTTATAAATCACTTTACAAACATTCTCCAACCCTCATAGCAGCCCTATCAAGTAATAAGGTAAGTAAGAATAGTTATCCCCATTTTACAGGAGGAGAAGCTGGGGCAGAGAGGTTGCAACTTGCCACCAGGAGATGTTGCCAGAGCCAGCATTTGAACTCTGGAGTTCTTGGCTCCAGTTCTGTGCTAAACCCACTGGGGTCATGCTTTTCAATGAATAAATAAAGTCAAGCCCATTCCATGAAAATTCATATTGAAACAGGGAAGCCTTCAGCCTGGAGAGAAGGATGTCATCGGTGAACTTTGGCATATGTTGAAGGGAACAGCATTCCAGAGTTTTGGGCCCCTCCCTCCAGTACAAAGGGTTGTGACCAAAATCTTCAGAAGTGGCCAGTGATACTAAGTGCCTTGGTTTTTGGTAGTCCAACTTAGAAACATCTTGCTTGATTTGCAGAGAGGCTGAGCACCCACAGTTTTTCAGTAAAGCCAATGGGAGTTGTGGGTGCTCAGCGCCTCTGAAAATGGGGCCCCTTTAAGGTCTCTCAAATTGAGACAACCAAAATCCCTGGCTGCTTCTGAAAATGTTGGCCTGTGTGAATAAAAGACCAATTCTGTCAAGTTATTTATTCCCAGTGGTTCTAACCAACCTCTGTGACAAAAATGCTTACTCTGCTCCTCGCCCTCAACATTCCTTATCTTTTTGTTTGTTTGTTTTCAAAACATACCCAGAAGAAAATTTACATATAAAGGATGTTTTCTCTAAGGATGCTGGGCCATTATGAGACAGATATGGTAACAAGATGTTGATATTAAATTTCCAAGAAAGATGATCCTTTTTTGTTAAATTCATCGCTGGCAGCTCATTAAAATGAGTGACACTTGCTCTAAATTTTCCAGTTCACTCAGGATCATATACCAGTTTATGCCTTAAATCTTTACTTGCTTGCCTATTTTTTTGACTATGAAGTTGGCTCTCAACAGAATTTTTTCTTGGCATATATTCCAGTTAGTTGTCTGTCTTAAAACCTGCTGTTGTTTTTTTTAAAAAGATTCTTCAAGATCATATTAACTCTGAGGTTTTACCTCTAAATTTTGAACAACAAAAATGCTATTAAGAATTAAATCCTAATAATTGCATTGTTTGATCTCACTACTGACATTAACCTGTTGCTCACTAAATGTGTTTGCAACAGAAGTAGAGAAAGAGGCCAGCAGTGAGAAGGAGGGGTGGGGGGGAAACAACCATGGATTAATTGCCAGATGTGTTTACTAATAAAGCATCTTTATTACCAAGATATTTTTATTTATGAGAGAATTTTTATTGTAGAGCTGTGATTAAAAGAACAGAGGAATGTTATTTGGCTGTAGGTCTTTGATGTGAATGAATCAAGCTCTGTGGGAGCTGAATTGAATCGGTTGCCACCGCCATTTGTAAAATATCTGGTTTTAGGGTCAAATTGGCACCTCCCCTGGAAGTGACATGGCAAAATGACAAGCGGCTCAGGAAGCTCCATGAGAGTCATGCTTGGGAATTTCTACTGATCTTTCCTGCGACAGGGCGTAAATAGGTTGTTTCGTGTCCTTTGGAGTAATGACCCTGCCCCCAGTGGAGTCTCTAGGAGGAGGTGTCACTCAATAAGAATAAAAGTTATGGGGAGGGGGGTTTGTTAATTTGGGGGGGGGAAGAAGAGTTAAAACCCTAGCACAGTGGTGGACAACCTGCAGCCCACGGGCCGCATGCAACCCGTCAGGCTAATCTGTTGACGGGCCGCAAGACAGTTTGTTTACATTGACTGTCCACAGGCACGACCGCCCACAGCTCCCAGTGGCCGCGGTTCGCCGTTCCTGGCCGATGGGAGCTGCGGGAAGCGGCGCGGGCTGCAGGGACGTGCTAGCCGCCACTTCCCACAGCTCCCATTGGCCAGGAACGGCGAACCGCGGCCACTGGGAGCTGCGGGCGGCCATGCCAATGTAAACAAACTGTCTCGGATTATGCTGATGGGTGCCCATAGGTTGCCCACCACTGCCCTAGGAGGTCTTTCAGAGTACCAGCGGGATGGGCTTCCTCACGTTTAAGCATTTTGATGCAGTTTAAATGCTTCCGAAAGCCAGATTAATAATTTTGAAGTCTGTCTGACAGCAAGGGACCCTAACATGCTCTCCTTCCCCAGGGCCATATAACATAAAACAGTATCAATAAAAGTTTCTACACACACCCTTCATTGCTCGACCAGTGTAACTCTACTCTGGCATCTGTGGCAAGAAGTGTACTGCTAAAGGTGATGTGGACTAATGTCCAAAAGGAACTGCTCTGAGGCAACCAACTCAAGGCTACCAAACTGCGACGGGATAACACTTCGAGACTTTGGCTGGATTCAAACCAGCAACCTAGTGGTGAAATGACCCATAGGTCATTACTAAGCCTGAACCAACCAGCCACAGTCAAAAACTACCCAAAGTGGTAGTTCTCCTTCCCAATTCCTCCCAGGCTGTGCTGTTAGACTGGAACTTTGAATCTAGCTAAGGCTCACTGAGATGGCAATGAGTTTTAACCTTGGATTCTTGGAGAAAATTATTGCAACTCTCATGTGATATAAAAATGGCTAAATTTAAATTGTCCAAATCTAGAAATAACTAGCAGGAATTTTGAATACATTCTGTAAATAGGACTAGTAATTTCCTTGCTCTTTTTATGAAGCTAGAGAACAGGATTATGACAATTGAGCAAAAATAAAAAATGGCTCTTTCTGTACTTAAGCAGATGTGGTTTCTTTAAAACAAACATCTAGAAGTAAATTGAATTTCCTTTCCTCCACGGGGAAATCTAAATTGCATTTCAGAAGTGGAATATATACTAGCTGATGGATTAAATAACTGTGGTGTCCAAAAATAAAAACAGTCCTTCTCCTTTCCCTGACCCCTGTTGAAATGCAAACTTTTGCTATAACAACATTAAGGAACTGAGACAAAGACCATTTGCATTTGCCAGACTGCCTCCTGTTTGAATGCTGAGGATGTATTGTAATGACTTGTCTACTGCATATATGTATCACTGTCTTCTTTTGGTTGGAATTTCAATGATCAATGGTGTGTCATAAGACAGTGGGGCCGGATTATTATTTTTTGTCAGATATGTGCAGATCCTGTTGACTTAAATTGAAGTTGTGAGTATTGAGCTCTTCTGAAAATCAGGTCCAATAATGCTAAAGCTAGTGAAAAGTCTCCTTTAATTCCAGTGTTGTGGGGCATTGGCTTTTGAAACAGAAGTCCTGATTATGTTTTGGCCAATTTTGCGAGCATCTTACTCACACCTACAGAGGTCTGTTGGCCATGGGTTTGTTACAATTCATGCTATATGCCTGCATTAGCCAGTGTTATATAGCACTGACAAAACCCAGAAAACTCAGCCGGCAATATCATCTTTCATCCTGCCCTGTTGTGCTTTAGGTTTCATTTTTTAGGAGTGTCTGAACAACGGTTGATTTTGCCTAACATGGGCTGTATATTGCCCTGGAATCAATTAGAATTGCAGTTGGAATCAGGAATCACATTAGGGTCTGTCCTAATACAAGCTATATTTACTTGGGCATCATGGAAACTGAGCAGAATAACAAAATTTCAGCTTTAGCTTTTAATTTCTGCCTCGTCAGTTTAAGCCAGACCATTAAAGAGACAATGTCAAGCTATAAAAATTCTGGCTAAGGTTTTTCAAAAATGATTAGTGTCTTACTTTTTGGGTGCTCAACTTGAGACCTTAAAGGAGTCTGATTTTCAGACTGTTGGTTTTCATCACTATTTTAAAATTACATCCCTTTAAGGTGGCTCTATGTAGGCATCGGAAAAACTGTGGTATGAAAGAAGCTGTGGGACTGAAAATCACTAATCATTTGAAAATCTTGGTCTATATGTTTGGAAAGTAGGATCTGACTCCACATTGCCTTGCCACCTCGTGTCATCTTTTCTCTTAGCTCAAAGGTATAAAATAATACCATTTGCATAAGAAAATGGTTTGACCCAAGAACCTCGGGATGCCAGGGCTGGCACAGATCCCTGAGGTTTATAGGGGTACAGGGATCCCCCTGGGTTCCCCAAAAGAATGTCATGCATGGTCTCTAATGAAAGCCTGTGTTGCACTGGTCATCGTGACCATTGTGAGATGCATGTACAGAGAATATGTGAGGAGTTATGTGTATATATCTAAAATTGTCATCTCTGTAGTTACAAACAGGGTCACTCAAAGGTAGCATGTCTTGAGATAAACTTCTCCAGACAGGAGATGGGAGACACTTATCTCCATGGGGGCTATTGTGTATTGTATATCCTACAATAGGAGTCTGTTAGCATTCTAAGGCAAATGCTAGTGAAGAACTGGCAGAGACTTGAGAAGAAAGTTAACAGGAAGGGTAAACAGCAGGGGAGGGACCCTATCTTGAGGTGACCCTATCTTGAGGTGACCTTCAAAAGTCTGGTCTGTATATTTGGAGGTGCAAAGAGACACTCTGGTGTCCTTCGCCTAGGAAGTAAACCGAGAGCCAGTTTGCTTCATGAAAAAGGGATCTCAACCAAGCTTGGTTGAAAATGCTGGAGAGAGCTTTGGATGAGATGAACTTCTTAAGACAGGAGGATAACTTGTTTGCAGTGGTATAGTTAGTTAAGTTTAGGCTTTAGAGTACATGTTATGATGTTGTTTTATATGGAACCATTTGTTCCCATCTCTCACATTGGTTTTTATTGGAATTTCTATTCTTTCTTAAATATGTTTTTCTTTTGTTTTATAATTGTACTCAAGTGCTGTGCGTAATACAGGAGTGGTGGTCTAAGGTAAAACAGATAAACTGTGGTACACTGTTCTTTTGGGAACAGAGGATCTGGGATTTCTGTGGGTATCCGTGATTGCGGCTGGATACCACAGGGGAACACTTTGAAATGACTTAGGGTGCATCTATAGTCAATTTGCAAAGCAAAGAGTCAGCTGGTGTAGCCCAAAGAAGAGTGCTTGAGTGGCTGACAGGCTGGTTGTGTTGGGGAGCTAACACCCACATGGCACAAGCAAGACTGTCATGCTGGAGGCAGGTGGTGATGAGGAGACTCACAGCCCTGGCTGCCCCAAATGTCACAAATGGAAAGTTCCGATTTGGTATCAATTTATACTTTGCCGAGCTGTAAATAACTACTCAGGAATGACACCGTGGCGAGTCATGCCCAACACCTTTAACTGTTCCTGACAACATTGTAGATGAACAAAGCTGGAGAAATTTTCAAGTTCTAAAATTTCAAGCTGGGTCAGCGTGTGGAAGATTTTGACAATTTTTGTGATTTTTTTCCCCCCATGTTTTTTGACCAACTCAGGCAATGACATACATAGCAGGAGTGAAATATAGGGGAAAAAATAAAGCACGAGAATAATGGAGGGAAAATCCATGCGGTTTTAGAGATTGATGTATGATAAAAATACACGTTTAAGGAAAGCAAACACCTTGATGATAGGAAAAGACCGCTATATCAAATATCTTAATTGGGTGAAGACAGACGGATGAGGACTGACAATGTATTGGATAGCTGATAACATTTCACCTGGAGATTATCCAGCTAACGTTTGTAATAAATGAGAAGTGATTAACATCCGGGTGACTCTACGGTGAACTGGTGAACTCCTTTGGGCCTCTTTGCTGAAAAAAGTTCAAGCTGAGTGCTCTGTAAAGTTCCCATTCTCTTCCATTTTTGTGACATCCTCAGGAACACGCAAGAAAGCATGAACCCGGAGGATGAGGTGGATGAGTTTCTGGGCCGTGCAATCGATGCCAGAAGTATTGATCGGTTACGCTCTGAGCATGTTCGCAAGTTTCTCTTAACATTCAGGGAGCCTGACTTAGAGAAGAAGGTAAGATTCCCCAATAACTACTCTCTCGGACGAAGAAAGTCTACTGTTAGTTTTGTTTGTCCAATTTAAGCTTAAAATCTTCCTACAGTTTGGAGTTACTTTACTTTTTTCCCCCCACTTATCACTTCAGTTCCTTTAGGGAGATTTTAACTTACCTGTTTTTAAAGGACACAGTGTATCTGTTGAAGGAAACATTTGATAGAAATGCACCATTGGGTAGGAATGCATGCTGAGCCATTTCTCTCTCACCTATAGCAATAGTGAACTTCAGAGTGAAATCAAGATGTTCTTGTGCCCATTACTGATCATTGGAGGATGTGTCATGGGTGGCACTCAAAATTATACTCTTTCTAAACTGCACTGCTCTCTTCTACAGTTTAGGAGAGGAAGGGTGATCTTGAGGCTAAGGAACAGGATTTAGGAAATCTGGATCTGCCACAGATATCCTGTGTGATCTGGGGCAAAGCATTTAATCTCTCTGCCCTTCAGTTGCCCGTAAGATGGAGACAATACTACTTCACAGGGATGTGAGAATAAATTCATAATAAGTTTGGAGGCACTCACATACTACAATGGTGTGTACCATATAAGTAAATAAATTATTTTACACACACACACACACTCTCTCTCTCTCTGCTTAGGGAAAATTTAAGCTCTGCCTTTTTTAATCCTAAATAATGTGAGCCTTAGGGCTATGTGAGCTGTCTTTAGCATAACCCTTAATAATAACAATAAAAGGTGAGCCATATTTTTAACAGGAAAAGCCATATCTATACATTATGTATTGGTCAGGTTAAGTTTGAGTCTGCTATTCTATTACTATGTTTAGCAATTATGTTTGTACTGCAAAAAGAGGATACAGTGATTAATCTAGTTAAAGAGCAAGACGTCTTTGCAGTAATTGCAGTATTTTTTCAATTCTGAATGGATCACATTAGCGTTGAGCAGAAGTGTAAGCATGTTATTTTCCCCATTTGATTTTAACTTTTTAAGAAAACTGAATGGTTTACATATCTCAAGGGCCTCCTTGTTTCACAGCTTAGGGATTGAGTTTGTTTGGACTAAGAATTGCAGTTCTAGCAGCACAGAGGACACGTTTAGGAATTGGACACAGCTCATCTGTGACTGACACTGATCACTAATGTAGCAAGGAGTCTGGTGGCACCTTATACCTGATGCCTGATCACTAATGTGAATGTTGTGAATGAATGAGAACCTGTGGCAACCTCACATTTTCATTAGAACCAACTAAAACTGCGCAGGTGTTTTTTAACACTGGCAGATACCACGAAAAACAATGTTTTCTCACTAGGCTTGAAAGAGGCAAACAAGAAATTGGTGTTTTCACAATAATCTTTCACTTCTGGTGAAATGCAGTGATTTGTTGACACGTTACCTTTTAATGCATGAACAAAAAATTGCATTGGATTCTGTTCCAAAGAAAAGGTGAAGGGGGGAAAAAACCCTTTTCAGAAGGTCATTTTATCATACAAGTTGCATCCATCAATTCTACCTTGGCCTTTGATAGGTCCCCAGATCCCTAGAGGGCAGGCAAATTGTTCTGGAGCATCCACTGGCCTGCTCCAATTGGACTACAGTTCCCAGCTGTCTCTATGATTATTCGTACTGCAACAGCGCTTACAGACCCCAAACAGGGATCAGGTCTCCATTGTGCTAGAGCCTGTACAGACACAAAGCAAAAAGTGGATCCCAAAGAGGATACACTCAAAGTAATGCCCCAGAGATTTTAGTTTAAACAAGAGATTCTCCTTGTGAGTGATCCCAAAGAAGATGTGTATATTGCAGAGAGCAGTCTGAATATGACACCAAATAAACTCCCTTTAGGAGCCTTAAAAAGCCTTGGCCATGTTTAACTATTTATCCCCACTGGAGAGAGCCCCAGATGGAATGAGTCAACATCTCACAGCTGTGCCCTCTGTTTCAGATTTATCTATTTTGACAGACATCAGGAAATGGACGAAATATAAATCTTCTTCCCATCTGCACAGGACCTTTCCACAGCCCTGAGATCTTTTTGGGGGGAGGGAGCCCCAAAATATAGGCTAAAGTAAGGGGAAATTTTCACACTTCTCTAAGTGGTAGTTCTGCAAGTGGGGCTTCTGGAGAACCCAGAGAGTGCTGGGTGCTGAATGAGGGGTTTGGTGGGGCGTAGGGAGTGGTTATATGTATTACCTATGCTTATAAAAGCCTGTTTACTTCCTCACAGTACTCCAAGCAAGTGGACGACAGATTTGGAGCCTATGTGGCTTGTGCCTCCCTCGTCTTCCTCTTCATCTGCTTTGTCCAAATCACAATAGTGCCCCAGTGAGTCGCTCTCTATCACTTTTTCTGCTTTCTGGCATTTTTTCTCTGTCCATGAGGCTTCAGTGCATCAAAAGGAAGCAAAAGTCTTTAAATAATGCATGCCTGAGTAATATACAATGCTTATTGTATGCCTTCATTTCTAGTTATGGTGTATTATGCTTGGCATGCAAGGATTTTCATTTTGCCGGCATGATTTCCTTTAATGTTTACCTCTCATTTGAGAAGTTTGATTTAGTATATTTATAATCCCATACAAAACCAGATCACTAGAATAGAAAGGATTGTCTACTGAGGCAGTAAAGTCTTTGTAAGACAGGGCTAGAGTGGGCCTATGTTGAATGCAGCTGAGCAGAGGAGGACGGGGGAATAAGCAATCCACCGCAATCCTCTGGTTCAACCTACTTGGATCTTGGATCTGAATACTGTTGCAAAGCTCTGCCTTGCTCTATGAACAAATGAGTGGGGAGGTCAGAGAATGGGCAGAGCGTCATTTCAAGGGCTGCAGTCATTTATTCACCCTCTCCCAGCCAGGCAAGAGAGGCAGTGGGAAGGAATTGTGCTTCGTAGGGGTGTCAGAGATACAATGCCTTCTGGACTGGTGCAGCGTATGCATGGCCCTGTGCTCAGATGGGTGCCTCATGGCATAACCTAGCCCAGAGGATCTTCTCAAAAAAGATGATGCTTCAGAATTTTCATTTCTGTTATTGAAAAATGAGAAACTAAGTGTGCTTGTGTTTTTTCAGAGACCATAACTGGCTCAGTAGCGATGCTTTCTCATAAATTGGGCACCTAAAAATAGAAAGTGCTCCTAAAATAATTTTAGAATCGGTCACTTTTAATCTCAAGAATAACATAATTGAAGAGTCAGAAATGCTCCAATTTATCTTCTTCCAATCTAAGAAAGCAAGATTAATGTCTGTCCGAGCCACAGAAACAATATGATGTTTGAGGTCACTCTTTCTCCTCCCCCCAGGCAAAAGGAAGGTTTCCACTGCTCGAGGAATGATAGAATCAACAAAGCAGAATAGCAGCAGCAGAAATACAGTGTATAAAGAGACAGATCCATTTAAGGAAATCAGAGGCTGAAAACTGAAATTAGGTCAATCCCTGCACTTCATACATGCTTAATCCTCACTAAAGCTGTTCTTTTCATGTTTGCCCAGGTTCTGCAAAGGTTTACACTTTAGATCAGCTGACTTGACACTGCTGCCTTGAATTCATACCTTTGTGAGAGAAGCCCTTTTAAAGGGGTTCGGTATGCCCATCAAGGTCTACACTGGGGTAGGGGAGGAGGATCGATCTAAATTACGCAACTTCAGCTACGTGAATAACGTAGCTGAAATCGACGTACTTAGATCGACTTACCGCAGTGTCTTCACCACGGTGAGTCGACTGCTGCCGCTCCCCTGTCGACTCTGCCTGCGCCTCTCACCGAGCTGGAGTACAGGAGTCGACGGGAGAGCGCTCGGGGATAGATTTATCGCGTCTAGCCTAGACGCGATAAATCAATCCCTGTTGGATTGATCGCTGCCCGCCGATCCGGGCAGTAGTGAAGATATACCCTAAGCAGCTACCGGACTATTTAATTAGAGCTAATTTAACATTTTTTAAAAGGGTTGACAAAAAATGTCTGGGCCCTTGGCCGTCCTATTGGCTGGCTCTCTCTGTTCTGTATTACACAAGGAAATTGGAGCAGCTTCATGATGATGTGGCATATGCTGTATGCCTGCCAGTCTTCTCTTATGGGCAGAAATATTTGATGTTTTGAAATTTTATTTCCAGGTGTTTTAGAGACTCCCATAATCTTGAGCACTTTTAGCTTTCCTCAAAAGAATCCACAGGCAGGATACTGGACCTTATAGTCAACTAGTCTAATCTGTATGGCAAAACCTACTGGGCTTGACATTTCAGACCCCAAACTGCATTTATGTGCATGCCCAAATCTGCATGCATGCTTTTTCTAGTATGGAAACCCACGTATAGGAAAGTCAATGAGATTTAGGATGCTAGATGCCCAAGTCTTTTGAAAATGGGACTTGGATGCTTTTGAAAATTTTACTCTGTGCCTTATGAGTATAACAACATGAGTTTCCTGTCTGCAAAATGAGTGAGGTGAGGTGTTCAGATACTCCGGTAATGGAGAACATATAACAACTAGAGATCAATACATGCGCATTATTTTTCCATATATATTAATACTAGCTAACTGGCAAGACTGACTGGAAGTGGTGTGGATTACCATAATAACATACCATCTCCAGGGTCCCAAACTCATATCTGAGTTGGGTTACAAGTGAACCTGAATTTGGTGGTTCTAAGGTTCTGTACCAGTCTGTAGTGGTCATTTGTCCACATAGCAGAAATATAGTAGAAATGGATAATATCTTCTCAGGAGAGGACTAGAATAGCAGAGGAGTTGGAGGTCAGTGGTCAAGAGCATTGGCTGAGCTATGTATGTATGTTTGCCAGCACCATCAGTCACCGTGCTTTCACAACCATTAAATTCATCCCAAAATTCGAACCCAAAACACAAACTCCTGCTAATTGCATTTATATTTATAGGGGTGTGTGTGTATATATATATATAATATTGCAGGCAAGTAGTAGTGAGAATAGGATAATACCCACATTGCATGGGAGTTGTTAAATTCTCCACCATCCTGTGGATAGCTTGGCATGTTTGTAGGCTGATTTGGTTTCTAGAGTAAACAAAGCTTCATGATTCATCTTTGGACCAGATATATATTTCCATCACATTTTTTATTCATTTTTCTAATATTCTTAATTGCATGATTGTTGTCTTTACTGATGACAGCAATTAACAAGCAGCTGCAGCCATGTGTATGTGTGTGTCGCCATCGAATGCTTTCATGAAATATCAGCAGAATCTGAAACTTCACACAAAATAGCAATGATCATTTGTGATAATAAAGAGGAATTGCGTTAATGAATGCCTTGAAGGCTCAAACAGTGAATTAGCAAAGACAGTTGCCTCTGTCATGGAAGAACATGGAAACCAGCTGGCTTTGGTGTGTTTGGTCTTAATGTCACTGTGCAAGATAACCTCACTGATCATTTAAAGTGTTGGGATGGGAGGGGACCTGTCTCTTTTGTACTGAGACCAGAAACTTTCAAAACGTTATTGAATAATTGCACGATCAAAACAAAAATGTGTACCACAAAGCTGGCTTGGAAATCCTGTTTTCACTGAAAGGAAGAGTGGAAGGAGATGGGGCACAATGCAGACTCCCAGCACTGCTGCTTTATTCATGAGTGCTCTGATGCCCTCTTAGCCGTCTTTGTTCCTGAGCTTAGGCGGGAGGACAGCCAAAGTAGTAGAGCAGAGATTTTCTATATGAGAAACCAGGCTAGGCTTGGGCATCTTCATGACCTTGTTGGATGTGGGCTATTTCTCTGCATTTTCCTCCTTAGCCAATACAAGGTTCCTGAGTCCTTTACAGAGAATGCAAATGAAAGGATGGGGATGGACTCATAAGTGTGACTTGAAATATGTCTCCCCTGCATATTTCATGTGCACTTGGCTGCAGCGGCCTCAATTCTAAAGCGCAGCAAGTTTCTCTTCCAGTGAATCTGGTATCCATTGCCAGCCTGGGGGTGGCTCACTATAACAAATTATTTTGTCATGTCTTCTAGCACATGAAACATTTCTCAGTCTCTCTGCTGTCACCCCAGCAATTTAAAGGGAACAGGGAATCTCCTTATTCAAAGCATCTCCTACCTCCTACTGCCATCCTAGCCAGAGAGAAAGCCCAGACCACATGATATAGTTTGTACAGATGTACTAAGGTTAAAAGCAGAGCAGTAACTGTTCTATATGGTGTAAATCTTTAAAAATCCCTTTCTGGTTTCAGCTCTACATTTATGTTGGGTTTTTACCTGACCAGTTTTTTGATCCTGACCACAGTGGTGTTTGTTTCGGTCATTTACTCCTGCGTAAAGGTGAGTAATGAGATTTCTCTATACTGTCCTTTGCTGACCCTGTTAGCATAACCAGTCTGTTTCTTAAGCTAATATATAACATCCTTGTATTTCATTAGCTGTCCTTTCCCCACCATTCTCCAAGGGAAAGATGCACTTACATACTACAATGATAAGGGTTATAGAAGAAACCTTAGATAAGACAGAATGAGCTGAGGTCATGTTGTGCTAGGATTGGCATAGTTTTCCACAGTCAGAAGTAATCAGCTGCTCTCCTTGTGGATCTGCATATCTATGAAGTCCCCTGCAGGCACTCTCATTTTGACTTTAAAAGAATAAAATTCCCAATGTGGAACCAAGAACACTGACCCTGCGCTTCCTCCCCTTAAAGTTCCTGCAGAGCCGGTTGTGTATTGTCCCCTGTGGCACATGCTTGGTTTGGTAGGCAGATCAGAAGAAGGGTAGCATCAAGAAAATAGGTCTTGAAGAGAAATAAAAGCAGAAACATTTAGAGCTTTCTCAGCCTGTCTCAGATGAGCATAAGCAGTAATAAGTCAGTGATCTCCTTTTTGTAACCGGTGGTTGATAAGCAAAGAAGGATGGTTGTAAAACAAGTGTTAAGTATGCTCAGCCTTCCAGGGCCGGCCCAGCTGAGCGAGCTGGTGCTTGGGGCGGCAGATTGTTCGAGGCGGCATTCTGCCCAATCCTAGGGCGGCACAGCCCCTTTAGTTTATTTATTTATTTATTTATTTTGTTCCGCTCCGGCCGCCCTGTGTGGGGCGGCGGGGCGGAGAACCGGAGCGCCCTGCAGGGCAGTCCTCTTCCTTCCCTCCCTGCCGACCGGAGCGGAGCCCTCACAGCAGGCGGCAGGAGGCGGCGCAGCGGGAGGGGCCGCGTGGCAGCACCCCTGCTGTAGCCCTGGCCGCCCCTTTTCTCTCTCTC